GTGTTCAAATAAACACAAATTTGATTGAATAATCTCTATAATACTCGTTTGCCAGTTCCATAACACGGCTAGGCGACTTTGATGAGCTATCGACCGGAATAGGGCTGGACAGTGGAGGTAGAAAAGAGGATGGGAAAGACAAAAAGGACTGGAGAAGAAGCAAGTGGGATGCATAAAAGATAAGAGGAGATTAACAATGGCAGGAAACGAGTTGAAACAGTGAAAACAGAAAAAATTTTTAATACCAAAGAGGTGTTAGCATTTCTTTGCAATCATTAATTGCCACTTTTGCGTTGTTCTGCTTAAGTAAATATCCAACAAAATAATAACATTAGCGGTAAATCTAATAGTTTAATAATGCATAGCCTTACAAGTTCTGATTACCAACTTTCAAGATTATGAAAACCGATAATGTAAAGTCCAAAAAGAAAAAAAAGCAAAGAAAACGAACAAATTTTGAAAAGAAACTTAAAAGTTAAGGTTATAAAAAATAACAAAGAGTTTTTTTTTTTATGAAGCAAACTTCAAAACCCAATAGTTATTTACGAAAAGAATGCGAAAAAAAGGGAAAAAAGAAAAATGAAAATGAAAACCCACATAATCGTGTAAGTTTGCATCTTTTGGTTCCAAAATAGGATAAAAAAAATCTATACACTTTTCTGCATCAATAAAAAATAAATTAACCGTTTTTAGTTCATTTTTTCCTTTTTGAGCCCCGTTTACCTCCTCTTTTTCTCTTTGCCAACCATAAACCACATCTAACCCGGCCAACAGCATTGTATTAAAAACTTATGCTGCAGTTTCGCGCTTTGCATAACAATCTTTAAGATGCTTAGGTTTGAAAATGATGACAATAAAGTGTGGGGAGGAGGTGGGAGCGGGAAACGAGTGGCTACCAAAAACGATAGAAGATGAAGTTAAAGTTCAGCACAATTGTTTTCGGAACAATGAGTTAAGAAAAAAAAAATATTTTTTAGAAAAAGCAATTTTGCTAAAGAAAAACAAGAATAACAAAATTTTTTCAACAAACAGTCCCAATTACCGTTACGAAAATAATACTGTGATACACGAGCCGTCTCAATAGATATCATATTGTCCTGAATGGAAACACTCTTCACTTGAACGTTTTCGGTTGGCGGTATTCGTTTGATGGCTTCGTTCCATCGGGTCGATACGGCTCGTAATTTTTCACGTTCTTTCTGGGACAACATATAGCCAAGCATCTCTAGAAATTCCTCTGGAAAATCTCTTTCCGTTTTATGCGTCATCACGGATTCTGAAATTTTGTGCATTTTTCTCCCTATTTTGTTTTTAAAAAACTCGATATTAACGATCTACAGAAATACGTAGTCGGCGTGAAAAAAAAAAGCAATTGTAAAGCGTCAACACCATCGTTGTTTATCGGCAACAAATAACGATGAAAGCAACGTGTTTTTTATATTTTTTTAATTATTTTTTTTTCATATTCAAAATTAAGGTAAACAAAAAAAATATGAAAAAACAAAAAAAAATTATTGAGTCAGCAATTGAAAAAAATTGCCTTTCTTTTTTCAAAAAAAAAAAAAAAAAAAAAAAAAAAAA